GAGCCAATCAAGCGAATGTCCTTAAGCCAGAGTTGGTGACACTACAGCTACCATTCGCAGATCACCCCAGGTTTCCTTGCTTTGCTTGTATCATTGCAAGGAACCTAGTGAAGGTTAAGCATGAGATGCTTACATCTGATTGTCAGGACTACTCAACAGCTTTTGGGAGCATCATTACTTCGCTTATGATAGCAGCAGGAGTTGATTTTTCAGCTGAGACACCTCTTAGAGAGGATTGGTTTGATCTTTTCTCTAGAGACAGGACTATCACCAGGGCTAAGATGGACTCAATTGGATTTGCTTACAAGTTCTCCACCAGTTCCACCGAGTACAGGATACTACTACTATCGGATTCAATGCCCCGTCTCCGAGATGGTTCAGACCCAGGATGGAAACCAGAGACTAGCGACTTCCTACCATCTTTGCCACTCTTACCTCTGACCATGAAGTAATTTCTGGCTGCAAAAGCCAAGAGAGAGGTAGCTGCAAACAGCAGGAGACTACAACCTGCATTATCTTCATTCAGAGCCAGTTCTTCTCATCTCAAAGCATCCACTAGGAGTGATGCAGACTTTGCAGATTTAAAGAAGAAGCTTGACCAGCAAGAGAAAATCAACAGGCGCATGAAGAGACTACTGAAGCGCCGCGAGTTTGATGATGACTCCTCATCTACAGAGACAGATGACAGCCATGAGACATAGGCGCCTATCAATCACCACATCATACCCAGGGTTTTATCACCATTTTCTTTTTCTTTTATTTTAGACTCTTTTGCTTTTATTTCACCATCTTCTCACTAACTTTTTCACACTGGGGACAATGTGATTTAAGTCTGGGGGAGGATGTCTATCCGTACTAATCTATTTTTCTTTGTTTCTTATATTTTTCTGCAATTTTAAAATTTTTCTATGCTTATTAAAAGACCTTGAGTATTTTTCAGGAATGTTTGACACAAAACTATGATGAGTAAGACCCATGTGCTTCTAGACTTTTCATGCTAGTTCCTTTTGTGGTTAGTACTAGACTAGGCGGTAGCTAGAGTACTTGCACTACGAACTCCCACCAGAGGATTTCTATTCATGGAGACTTTTCCTAACAGGATAGACTAGCTCATTTCACTTGAACATAATCTTGACATCTAATTTTCTCATCATTGGTTTTAGCAGGCATCATGATACACATCTAGGACATCTTCACCTTATTGTTACCATTCTTTGTTGTCCTAGATGACCAGTTCATCTTTAGCTGGTACCACACCCTTTACCCAAACCTTTATGTTTAATCCTCATGCATTCTCTCTTTAGTTTATATCGACAAATATGTGCAAAAACGCCGGAGAGAGAGGAGAAACATGGTTTTCAGTCACTCAAGAAGAAGACTGAAAGAATTTGGGAAAGTGGAGCATCAAGAATCTATCAAAGCTCAATGGTGCCTCAAAAAGCTTGAATTTGAAGGTAAATTTCGTGCTTCCTAAGACTCAATCCAAAGGCAGTTTCCCCTTTCTAAAAAAGGAAAAAAAAAAGAGAAAAAGAATGAAAGGAAAGGAAACTAAAAGCCTAAAGAGTCTAGGATAACCGAAAATTGTTTGAAGCAAAGGCTGCAAGTATTCATTTGTGAGCATTGGTATCAAAACCTGGACAAAAATCTAAGTCTGGGGGAGTTATGAGGAGAACCTGAAGAAGAGAGATCAAGAATCCTAAAGCAAGAAGAATGTGACTGAAAACTGTGGATATCAATAGGTCCACCCTCTCTTGCTGATTTGCATAATGTCTTGTCTCTTCAGAAAGGGTAACCCTAAACACTAAAAGTCTCACCTTCTAAACAGCCATTTTGAATACCTAGCCTTGATTGCCTTGCTAAACTCCTTTTTGATGAGAACCACTGAAACCTATAAATGAATGTTAAAAGCTAGTTGACTGGAGGATAGGTTTAAGTGTGTAGATTTTCGCATGACAGATCAACGGACTAGTTATGCTTGTGCTTTGGTGAGAATTTTCTAGACTATCCTTGATTTGAGCATAATGACTAACTCTGGTTTAGAAGCATGGTCTCTGAGATTTTGTTAGTTCCTGCGATTTTCAAACCTCTTTTCCAGGTTCAGATCTTTGGTTTTGTTTGAGGACAAACAAATGTTTAAGTCTGGAGGAGTTGATAACACCTGATTTTGACCACTTTTATGGATCACTTTCAATATCTTATGCATGTGTTTTTACTCAGTTTTAAAGGTTTTATAAGTGTTTTCCATTTTTTGGAGTTTTAAAAGGCTTTTCAGGAAACTTGAGACTTTGGAGTGCATTTTGGAGCAAAAGTACATTTTTGGATAAATTCAGGCCATTAGAAGGCAACCAATGAAGACCTTCTCAGAGTCTGATCATCCCCAAATTTGGAGACATTATAGAAGGGACAACCAGCTTTCCAACACTTTTAGAATAAAAGCAATCCAACGGTTAGATCTCAAGATATCATCATTGCACTGAAGGCCGATCAACACAAGCCCAGTCAAGCACAAGTGCTTTCACCCGCGGCCAGCCTTCTTCCCCCCGCGGATCAGGAGGTTTCACCCCCGGTGGACCTATGTCCGAACCTCAGGAGCCCAACTAAGGCCCAAGACACTTCCTGCACCCGTTTTACAAGCCCTAGACGCCCAGGACTTGGAGAAACACTATAAATACTCATTTTTAGGTCTTTTGTAGGAGAGTCTCTTTCTTCTCTTTGAGAGAGAACTCATTTGTAGTTTTAGGTTTTATTTTTATGCATTTGTAGAAGCTCTCCATCACCATTCTGTCTTCAATAAGAGAAGTTTTTCTGCAACTTTGTTTCTTTTACTTTTCTTCTTCTTAGTTCTAAACCGATGATGATGTCTACCTCCGCCATGTCTAGGTTGTCACCTAGTTGGGTGAAAGGGTAATCCAAAGGGACCCCATTTTCGAATGACATCTAGGTTTTTAGGAAAAATGATTTCGATTTTAACATGATTCTCCCATTCTTCCAAATCTCAAAGCAGTAATTCTGAACTGATCACCCAGAATCTGATCCTACTTTTAATCCGAGCCACGAGAGTGTTGTATATAAGTTGTCTGAACTGGATCTTATGGACGTCCCCGTCGTAGGAGAAGAAAGCTACCTACGGTGGATACGTAAGCAGTGATGGATTCCGATCTATAAAGAATGATCTTGTTCTGGCATGAGAATGAGAGTTAATTGCCATGAACAAGTGATTAAATGATTAGGGTGAGGAGAGTTGGCTAATCTTACATGTGTCTATCTTAGTTTCAGAGTCATAGAAAATCCTTGCCTTCCTTGTGTTTTAGAACATGAACCCTAAAGATGAACCTTGAACCCAGCGCTTTTTCCTTACTTTTTTTCAACCTTTTACTTAAAGTTCTTTTTAATTTTCTGCATAATTAGATTTAGTGACAAACTAAAACCCCTTTTTATTAGATTAGGTTTACGATTGTTTTTAGCATCAGTTAGAAGTCCTCAGCACACAGATCTATGTGGATTCGATCCCTAAGTACTACTGTGTTTGCTGTGTACTTGCAGCTTGTCTAGGGTAAAACTTGTGTTGCCCACTGCACTCACATCAACGACCCCTTTGAAATGCCTCATTGTGTGCTCAATCTCCTTCATATTTACATCGAATGAATACCTACCCCAAGGAAACTTTTTACAAGCTTTGAGATCATCCACAATCCTCAGGAATAAGGGGTCAACAGATGGTGCTCCCTTACCGGTTTTCGTTTTCCCACTAATTATAGAGGATAAAAAGTAGACGACACACATCTTCAACCGATCAGGATTAACTAGCCCTCGCATCAAATCTAGCTTTTTCTCAACAACAGCAAAGGAGGGGACGGTTTCCTGGATATATCTATTCTTAAACGAAGACATTTCTATGCTCTCATAGTCCTCTAGGTACGGGAGAAAGTTTAATCCACACAAAATGGCATGCTCTCTAAGGGAATAGTGAATTGGTACACCATCCACTACAAACCAAGCTTCCCTCTTCTTATTTGTGTTTGCTGTCCGAAGAAGAAGCAACCACATTCCCATCATCTTGTATGTTGTGTCCTCATGCATGGCCCTATGCATATGCCAAAAGTGCTTGAACTGTGGGTGTTCTGTAAACCATATCAGCTCATGGGGTTCAAGGTCTAGGGACTCCAATTTTGCAACAGCTTTGTGGATATACCATCTTGTTCCTAGCTTTATTGCATAATGATATTGACTGGGCTCGAAGAACATTCTCACGGGTGGCAATGGCTGGTTCTCCTCCTCCTCAGCCTCAGCCTCAGCCTCAGTTCCCCTCCACAACAATATCTGATTATTACCCGTCTCTGATTCGGCAACTCCTTCTACCATTTTCTCCTGCGACGATTCGGAATCTGAGTACAGTTCTGGTCTAGCATATCTAAACACTCTTTCGTTGCCTAAATCCATGACTCCTACTTTGTAATTACCAACCGAATAGAGAACATATAAATCAAATTTTGGATTCTACACAAAACCGAGTTCAAATCTACAAAGTAATCTGCATATAAATTAGAAATCAGAGGACAAATCAGAGGACGAAGACGAACGAACCTGATTTAGCGTTAATTCAAGACAGACAGCAACAAATCACTCGTAGTTGTCCCAGAGAATACTAGGCAAAGACGACGACAAGAGGACGATTTCGAAATTTGATTTTTTTAAAAAAAAATTTAGGGTTTGACTTACCACAATTTTGACCAAAAATCCGATTTCTTCGGATTCAACCCGATATGACAGATTGGGTGTAGATCTTCGTGGTTGGGTTAGTAAATATGAAACTTTAGTAAGCACCTGCAAGTATGTGACCGCTTTTCTCCTTTTTTCTTGCTTTAAAATAAATCGAAAACAAATTAAATATTATGAAGAGGAGATTTGAGAATTTTTATAATGCGAAAGGAGTACGCGAGATTATTCCTCACAGATTTTATTGTTATCTTTAATTTTTATACACATGTATATGTCTGAATGTTCATATGAAAGTTCTTGCCTAAAAACTCTCTCAGGCCCACGTCCCAAGATAGTCTCAATGGTCTGGTTTTTTGAGATAGTGACATGTTTCTATCTGGTTTTTGCCAAAAATAGTAAGTTTTCTTCAAAACCAAAACCGCTTGGGTCTCCCTTCACCGTGGTTCCACCCCCACCTAAGGGTCGGAGGGTCCGCCGACGCCGCAACGCTCACAAGAAGAATGCCTGAATGCTCTTCTCCGTTCACAGCTGCACAAATGGAAGCTTCTTCAAATCTGCTCCTGATTTCTGACAACTCTTAGGTGCTCCATCTCCTGCCTGCTGCTTCTGCCTGACCTTTACGCCTAGCCTCCTCACTCTTGAGTCCACCACCTCCGGGAATAGTCTCCTCCTCCGGTTTACAGTTTTTGAGACCTCTCCCCTGAAGCACCGGTTTCCTTGGCTCGACGCTGACCTCCTTGCCCTGCTTTCTCCCTACCGGCCATCACAACCCAAATGGCACGCCACTTCTCCTACGCCGAGAAAAGAAAAGGAGTTTTCGCAGAACCTGCACCCCCAACAAGAAAAGGCATCAGAGCTCCAGATCTCGATACCTCAGATCTCATCTAAGACAACGCTCTCACTCTCATTGGTCGACTCACAAACCTGGATGAACAAATACTCTTGAATATGATTCCCTACATGACCCGACAGTGGAATCTGAGAGGAAAAGGCACTGGATATGACCTAGGTAACCATTGCTTTCAGTTCCGGTTTGATCTTGAAGAGGATATGCTACAAGTGCTCAATAATCAACCCTACCACTATAACAAATGAATGATTATCTTGGAGAAATGGGAACCAGTCATCTCGGCGAAAGTCCCTCAAAAATCCCTTTCTGGATCAGGCTCTCAGGGCTCCCCCTACACTACTGGAAAGACGAGCTACTCAGAAACATTGGTAATGAAATTGGCAGCTTCCAAGATTTTGAGATCACAAAAACTTATGCACGAATCCGTGTAGAAATCAACGGCTTAAACCCTGTGACCCAGGATACGATTGTTGTATTTCGAGGAGGGTCTGAAGTTCTGGTCACCCTAAGCTACGAAAAGCTGGAGAATCATTGTTCCTTCTGCCACCTGCTCTCGCATATGGCTGACCATTTCCCTGCAAAATTAAGTCTCAAAGGAGGGTCTCAGAATTCCCATCCCCACCCAAAAAGATCTTCCCAGACTAAAACTTAAAGTGATACCTCTCTATTTGAAACACGCCTTGACAGACATGGGAACCCGTTTGACCCCTTTGACTCAATCTTCTCCTCACCTGGTCAAGGTGCCTCCACGTGCAGGGCATCCGGTGAACTCAGTGACCCCTCCTCCTCACACTAGTCCTGAACCTGTTAAGAAAAGGAGAGGCAGACCCCCAACAAAAAGAACATCTTCCCGGACATCGAAGGCAGCTTCTAATGGACCAAGTCGAAAGAAAAAACAAATTCAAATGAGGATTTCCCCTTTGTCAAGAATGATCCAGCCCAGAACTTCCCCCTCCACTCATCACCTTAGCTCACGCAGGAATCAAGCCTCGATTTCCCGAAGTATAACAGCCCCCCCCCCCCAAGGTTCTGATCACCTTGATCACCCTCCTAGGAGATCGCCTCCTCCGATTAACATCATCCCAACTACCTCCAAAGGAAACACAGATTTTTGGGATCCAAGAGGTCCTCTTCCTTAGTTCTGAGCTAGAACTGTTGTGGGTTGGAGAATCCTGCAACAGTCCATCGCATTCAGGAGATCCACAAAAATCTTTCTCCTGACATCCTATTCCTCTCTGAAACAAAAAAACCCTGAAGAGTTCATAAGAAAATCCTTAGAATCCCTACCTTACGAGTCTCAACACCATGTCAAACCCCACAGTCTGGGGGGTGGGGGCCTCTCTCTACTATGGAAGAATGATATCAATCTCTCTGTCATGTCTTCCTACAACAACTTCATTGATACATCGATAACCTACAAGAATAAGACCTTCATTTGTACCTTCGTATATGGTGAACCTGACCAAGCAAAGAGAAGAATGTTATGGTCGGATATCTCATCTTTGGCTGCTTTATGTGATTCTCCATGGCTCATCACTGGAGATTTTAATGACATTGTTAACAATCCTCTGTCTTAGAGAGGAATGAGACACTCATGGATCTGTCCACTGCAGATTGGACAGATCCATGGCAAACTCCTGCTGGTCTGATCTCTTCCCCACTGCATGCTGCAAATACCTTCAGTTTGAGAGTTTGGATCATAGGCGATCATCACCTGGTTAGAGCCATCAAAAAGACGAAAAGGAGGTATCTTTAGATACGACCGCAAGCAAAGGAACAATAAAGATATGTAACCTCATAGATAAATGCTGGAATGAAAATACTGAGGACTCTGTCGAGATGAAAATTGCAAAATGCTGGGCTGCCATATCTAGATGGAATAAGGAATGATACACCAACAGCCAAAAACTGATCCTGGAATTAAAACAAAAGCTGGATCAGGCCATGAGTACCTCTGTTCACGACGGCCCTTTTCTGAATGACCTTAATTCCAAGCTCAAGCAGGCATACAAAGAGGAAAAAGAGTATTGGAGACAGCAAAGTAAAACATTATGGTTGAATCTGGGTGACAAGAATTCCGGTTTCTTTCATGCTACAACCCAAAGAAGACGAGCCATCAATCATTTCTCTGTACATGCGTACGAGGAAGAAGAGATTTTTCCATATTGTAAATGACTACTTCCAAGACCTGTTCATTTCTAAATCTTCCAATTGTGTGGATATCGTTGCAAAAGCTCTACACCCTTGCATAACAGCGGAGCAGAATCAAGCTCTTATTTCTGATCCTTCAAAAGAAGAGGTTCGACAAGCTCTCTTCTCCATCCATCCTAACAATGCACCAGGCCCTGATGGCTTCCCTGCATGTTTTTTCCAAACTCACTTGTCAATCATTGGAGATAAGATTACGGAGGAGATTAAAATGTTTTTCTCTTCAGGCAAGCTCCCTAGCTCGATCAACTTAACTCATGTTCGGCTCATCCCAAAAGTGTTGAGTCCTTCAACGGTCCCTGAGTTCAGACCCATTGCCCTTTGCAATGTCTTCTACAAAATAATCTTGAAGCTTCTCACCCGACGACTGCAACTCCTCCTTACCAACATCATCTCCGAAATGCAATCTGCTTTTGTTCCTAGAAGAGAAATATCAGACAATGTTTTAATCACACATAAAGGATTACATTACCTAAAGGATCAAAATATACGAAGCATTGTGTTATGGCTGTAAAAACTGATATGAGTAAGGCCTATGACAGGCTGGAATAGAGTTTTATTGTGGCTGTGATAACTAGAGGTTTTTAAGCTCTAAATGGGGGTTATCAATCCCTTAGCTGTTGCAGCATAAAGGGTTTATCAATCCAAAGTGTGGTAGACACTAGAATATAAGACAGTTTCTTAATTCAAGCAGAATGATGAAGATTGTTGGTGACTAATGCTTAGAACAAGATTAAAACTAAAACAAAGAGTAATGATCAAATAAACAATCAAGCAATAACAACTAAACAAGATGAGATGATATGAAATGATGGAAGCATGAGATTCTAGACATGATAGTTGGCTAGGGTGCTTTTGTGCTAAACTAGAAACGCTAATGACAATGATGAAACATGATTCAAATAATTTAGAACTCTAATCTAGATCAATCCTCTCATGAAGACATTAACCTCTACACTAATCTAATTTCAACCAAATCATCATTTGTGAAATATGAATCAATGAGCATTAAGAAACAGTTCTAAAAGATCATTTATGCTAATAACAAGACATCATCAAGTAGCTAATGCATAAACCTCTAATACAGCTCTTTCAGGAATTTCATCAAACACTTTTGGTGCATGAAATTTCCAGAATCTAGATCACAAGTGATGTGCAAGGATCTAGCCTAGAGAGCAGCTGTTTAGAGAGATGAATCAATGAATCTAGCCCTAAGCACTCTTAATCTAACACTTTAGCGCCCTAACCTACACATATAGAACCTCATTAAGGTGACTACTCACTAATCATTCTAATCTCTCTTAAACCTTTGCAAGTTGAGAAAATTGGCATGATTAATGATGAGAAATGGAGATGGTGAAGATGGATAATGATGGATTTGCAGCTTTAAACACAGAAATCTCTGATTCTCTCTTGATTAAAACCCTTAAAAATCGATATTTCTCTTCTTAAGAGGATTCTTTCACAAAAGAGGCAAAGAAACAAAGAGAATAAAGCTTAGTCCTTAGGGTAAAACCCTAAAAAATATATATAGTGTCTCCAGCGGACCGGGTCAGCCCGGAACAAACCGGGTCCTGACCCGGTTTTGATGGATAAAATCTCGAGTGTGCGAGTTGGTCAGGAGCTTCCCATCTCGCAGGACCAAGTTGCACAGCCAAAGAAACACTCTTGTGAGCCTTAAGTCCTTCAGCTTCAGCCGCATGCCCATCTAGGTGAAAACCGCGAGTCTTTATGCAGTTCAGTTCTTTCCTCTCTTCAACTCGCACAACCAAGACACAATCTGGGGAAAATATGTGTGCGAGTTGGTTCTCCATTAGTCCCAAGTCGCATGCCCAACTCGCACAAGTCTGGAAAGGAGCTTCAGCGAGATAAAACCATGTAACCAAGCCGCATTCCTCTCTTGGTGTAAACCGCGACAGTTTGTGCGATTCAGGCTCCTTTGCTCTCTAGCCCGCACAACTATGTAGCACATGACTTCAAGTATGTGTGCGGGATGGTCTACTTCACTCCCAAGTCGCAAGCCCAAGTTGGTGTAAACAGCGAGTGTTTGTGCAGTTCAGTTCACTGCTCGGCCAACTCGCATGCTCAAATCGCACATTTGTGGACTTTAGCAATTTTCCTGCTCGGGAGCCCTTGATCTCACCCAGGATTACCTTACCCGCATATCTGCACACGCAGCTCAATTCCCAGAATTTATCTTTTAAGCGCTGCGGGTTAGGCAAGTCGCAAAACCATCTCGCAGACTTCAAATCTCCTCAGACCACTTCGTATTCGGGGGAGCGTAACTTCCAGAATATAGATCCAAAAGGCTTAACTCTAGCTGTAGTGGAAAGAGCACTCAAATATCTTAAACTTTCATGAAGAAACCTTCAGCGCCTGAGAAGTGGAAGGTTCCCTGGACGGTTCATCTCTGCGGCACATTGAAACGATCAAAAAGAAGCTCTTGGACCAGTGTTCACTCCGGAGACGGTATCTTTCAGGACATAGCTCCAAACTGGATGATCTAAGATTTCCTGGAAATAGCACTCCAAAATATCGAATCTTTATGAAGACCCCGGCAACGGAATCAGACTGGAAAGGCATCGTCCCACACAATCCTTGTGACTCATCAGATTGGTCTTGAAACTGTAGCGAGACAGACGTGCGTTCCGGTGAGCTTAACGCTCTGCTCACGACTCCAAATCCCATGATTCCACCTGTTCTGGATCCGTGACTTGATAATATCCAACGTTACTGAAGACCCTGTAATCTGAATCCGACGTTAAGAATCCCCGGACAGGCGATCTTTCCAGACGTATCGAATTGCTCCGGAATGGGCTCGAGAGAGGTCTGTCTTCCGGTGGCCGTATCTTTCAGATAGGTGCTCCAAACGCGTCGATTCCAACTGTTCTGAGATCAAGTCTCAATTATCTTGATCTTTTCTGAAGACCTCGGAGGCTGAATCGGCCGGAAAGACCTTCCGGTAACGCGATTTCAGAGATGTATCTGCACCCGGAAATTTTGGCCGAGAAACATGAACAGTCGGTACGTGTTTTGGCCGAGAAATCCACCCGCGGTACATGAAAATTGCCGAGAAAAAGCTTTCCGCGGTACAGGCTAGCGCCAAGAACCTCTAAAAGGCTGTTTTCACCATTTTTAAACCCCCATTCACCATTTCTTCTCCTAGCTTCATCTTTTTAGGTCCAAACTGCTTCCAAACCACCTGTAAACACTCCAAAACAGGCAAGACTCACTTGGACCTAATGCAAACCCCTAAGTCCTAAAACAACATCTAAAGACCTAAAATGCATGAAATAAGATATGATTTGGAATGAAATATACAACCTAAATGATGCAAATTATGAACATATCAGGCTGTTTTGGAGAGACTTGGGTTTCATGCTAAGTGGATCAATTGGATCTTACAATGTATATCTACCGTCTCCTACGCTTTTTTGGTGAACTGTTCAGCACAAGGAATGGTTATCCCTCAGCGCGGCATCAGACAAGGCGATCAATTGTCTTCATACATTTTCATCCTGTGTGGAGAGGTGCTATCTGGTCTCTGTGCCAGAACACAAGCTAGTGGCTTACTTCCGGGCATCCGAGCTGCTAGGGGTAGTCCTCTCCTGAATCACCTCTTGTTTGCTGATAACACTATGTTTTTCAGTAAAACAAATCCCATCTGGTGTGAAACGCTCAACTCCATTCTCAAAGAGTATGAATCTGCCTTGGGTCAGATGATAAATAAGCAGAAGTCTTGCATCATCTTCTCGGGGAAGACACCGCAAGACGTCAAGAACCGAGTCATGCAATCTTTTGGAATTGATAAAAAAGGCGGCCAGGAAAAGTATCTAGGCCTACTTGATAGTTTTGGCCACCGGAAAAAGGACCTGTTCACCCTTATCGTCGATTGCATGAAGCAGAAATCGGTTAATTAGGCAACACAGCTCCTATCAAGCATTGGGAAACTAACTCTCCTCAAATCTGTTCTCTCTGCTATACCAACCTACACTATGACCTACTTTAAACTCCCTATAAGCCTATGCAAGAGGATACAGTCTGCCCTAACCCAGTTCTTGTGGGATTCTAAACCAGGTCATAAGAAGATGGTTTGGATCGCGTGGAAAAAACTTACCAAGACGAAGAGGAATGAAGACCTGGATTTCTGCGACATCCAATGCTTCAATGATGCGCTTCTGGCTAAAATCAGTTGGAGATTTCTCTCCAAACCTTCTTGTCTCCTTTCCCAAGTACTCTTTAGTAAGTACTGCAACACCAGCCACTTCCTTAATGTCCACACAGTATCAAATGGCTCTCATGGCTGGAAAGGGATTTTGATAGGAAGAGATATACTCAACAAACAATTGGGAAAAGTGATTGGGAATGGGCGCAATATCTCTCTCTGGGATGACCCTTGGCTTTCCCTCTCTCACCCCAAGACACCAGTCGGACCTGCCAATCTTGACACCAAAGATTTACTTGTGTCAGTCTTACTCACGGCTTATGGAAAAGCTTGGAACAAACACCGAATCGACCAGATACTACCTCATCATGTGGAGGAAATCTTGTGCCTTCGCCCCAGCTAAAAAAGAGCCCATGACAAATATGTATGGCTATCGAACAAGTCTCGCATCTACACGTCAAAAACGGGCTACCACATCGCATCTGCAGAAGAAGATCCCATCATACCATTGAACCAAGACCTAAATTGGAATGCTGAGATATGGAATGGGAAGTTCTCCCCTAAAATTAAAGTTTTCATTTGGAAAATTATCCAGAATGCTTTAGCTGTGGGCGAAAACTTACTGAACAGAGGCCTAGAGGGAGATCCAGGTTGTATCCACTGCGAAGAGTTGGAGACTACTAAGCACCTGTTCCTCCAATGCCCTTTTGCTAAAGCGGTGTGGAATCTGGCACCTTTCAAAAGTCAAATGGACTCTTCTCTCTTCCCTACCTTTCAGTCAGCTCTCATCGCCTCAAAACATATGTTCTGCTTACCTCCGTCGGGTCTGGGCTCGGGATCTTTATTCCCATGGCTCTGCTGGTCCATCTGGAAATCCCACAATAGTCGCCTTTTCGAAAATCGACCTGTCTCCCCATCTGAAACTTTGACAAAAGCTGTCAGTGACGCATGGGAATGGCAACAAGCCCAGCATAAGGATCCCTCTACTCTACAAAAGGAACCATCACCTCGACCACCACATTTAAACCATGGTATTACGTGCTTCACCTATGAAGCTTGGAGAAGCGATACAAAATCAGCAGGATATGAGTGGATCTTCTTAAACAGCGACGGATCGGAGATCTTGAAAGATTCAGGTTTCGATCCGCATATCGGTTCTCCTCTCATGGTAGAAGCTATCGCCCTCCGATCAGCTCTCCTCCAAGGACTTGATATGGGATTCACCTCCCTCACCATCAAATCTGACGCTCAGATTCTTATCAGAGCTATATCATCGCAGAAGCAGACCAAGGAGGTCTACGACCTTCTCTTTGACATCCAAGCTCTCGCATCTATGTTCTCTGCAATTTTATTTTGTTTTATTCCCATATCTGAAAATGATAGAGTCGATTCTCTTGCAAAGCTTGCGTTGTGTAACTCATAGATTTGTGTCCCTCTGTGTAACGGTTGAGAACTCATTTATTGCATTAAATGAAATGTTGACCAAAAATACATATGTATATATGTTTTGAAGATTGTTTATTGTTTTGGTATTTTCTTGAATTTGAACTGTGTATTTAAACGTTTTTTTTTTTACTGTTATTATTTATTTGGTGTGAGACTTTGAAGTTTTATATGTTAATTTATGGGAAATGACATATTTTTGTCTCTACAGTTTCATATGTAGTAACAGATTTACACGAATTTCGACACATCGTCATGTATCTCTTTCTTAGGAAAGTTTTAAATCTATTTCTCCCCAGTTCAAAATTTTAATACGTATATAGCCATAGTTATTGGTTTGATTGGTTATGAGTTTAACCATATATAAAAACCGTATTAACTGATTCCAAACCATATTTTAAAACCTGACCGAACTGAAAACCGATCTATAACCCGACCTACCACAACATCCTTCTTTCGTTACAATTTGAGAAATCCCCAAATCAAATCCCAAAACCCTGAATCATCTTTAGAAAGAGATCTTTGCTGAGCAAATGTTCTTCTTTTTTAATTTATTGACGTGAGCAATGACTTCAACATCGAATACTATTAGTAAACACTAAAAAAAAAACTCAACGCATTAATTATTTTTATTAATTTTTTGTCATCATCAACTGTGAATCGGGTCGTGATATAGATGAACACCAATAGCAATCTAGTTCTGAAAATTACAGATCGAGATCAATCATCTCTAAATTAATAAATTATATATGGATTTACAAAGCTCTATGTAACTTTAACACCCAGAGAGAAAATAGAGAGATTGTACAATCCCTAATCTCAGGAATTAAAGATTTTCGATTTAGGGTTCTTGAGGATTCTCTATTTAAGGATTTAAAGGATAGTTAATTGGTTTTGGGTTTTAATCAGGTTAAGCTTGGTTTAATTGGGTTGTATTATGGTTAATAGTCAACATTTTTTTTAAACAATAAACCGATGTAAAATCTGGTTTGTGGGTTTATTAGTTTCAAACTTTAATTTCAGGGCTATACATTTTTTAAACTTTTGAATTGGAGGAATTAAATTTACCAATCTTGGGAGAAATAAATTTACCAATCTTTTAATTTCAGATTTATGACGAAATCAAAACTTCGTCTGAATATGTTACTATATGAAACTTTAGAGAGAGAAATACATTGTTTTCCCTTATTTTATTTATGAGACTTTGAAAATTTTTAGTTTATTTAAAAATATTTAAAATTCTAATTTATTTTGTGATGATTTAAATTTTTTAAAATTCTTGTAAAAAATCACAAAATCTATCTTTCTATGTTTTTATTCATGAGATGATTTATTTTTTAAAAGCCAGCAAACTAAGATCTTATCATTTTTATTGTTTTTTTTTGTGTAAGATTTTGAAAATTTTTATTTTATTGTAACTATGAGACTTTAAAGACTTCAATTTTATTTTTAAATCTTTAGAGTTCTAATTTATCTAATTAAAGTTTTAAACTGTTAAACCTCAAATTCTATTAAAACTCCATATAGTCTAGCTTCATCGCTTTTTTATACGATGATTTATCTTTTAAAAACCAACAAAATAAAACCTTACCATTTTTAAGTTCCTACCAATAGTCTTTTAATCAGATTGAACAACTTCAAACTAAAAATAATTATGGAAGTTGTTAGAGTTGTACTCTGCACACCTGGATTAACTCGACATGAACAGAAACCGGTCCAATTGACCCTGGTTAACGATGGTTCATATTGTGACAAATTAGACCGGGCCAAACTAGCCCAATAGCAGTTAGGCCCTGTATGCAGATAACGCCGACCTCCGAAATTTAAGGAAGATTTCTTTAAATCTCGAAGGAAAATATTATTCTTTGAATCCAAAGAGAAAAAGAAAACTTAGACTAAACCAACTCTTGTTGTATATATAAAGGAAGAGATTTCTCATAATTGATCAACGCGAATTCTAGAAGCATAGAGAGAACTCAGAGCAATTAACCTAGTTCTTGAAAGCATCCTCTTTGTAATTAAATTTACTATCAATAAAACGATTCCGAGCTATTCAAATATTCTTGGGGTGATTTCCATAGTCAACAATTCAGCCAAATACATATTCGGCGTCACATCAGGAGAATTTCTCGGCTATAAAGTCACCAAACGCGGCATAGAGGCTTGATGTTTGTCTGCGTGAGGGTTGTTAAGTTTTGCCCTAAATGAAATCAATAGCCGCAAGTGCATAGCTGATCGATTGTAGTACTTAGGGATCGAATCCACAAGGGAAGGAGGATCTTTCCTGCAAAAGCCTTCGAAAAAAATATAAAGTAAGGAAGTCTAGAACCACGCAATTTTGTAAGGATTTTGGTGGTGTCTAATACGGGAATTAAAATGACCTAATAACTAAACTTAATGAAATCGACTAAAAAGAAGAAAACGGCTAAACCTAATTGCTTAAACGAAAATCGATTAAGAGAATGAAAATGATGAACTAAAGCTTGAAATAAAATCAATGTAAATCTATAGAAAAGAAGGCGCTGGGTTTCAGAGAAATTTTCTCCGGGGTATGAACGATTCAAAACATTGCTAAAGAGTAATTTGATAAGATCTTAGCTAAAACTTTTCGAACTAGAGTCATGGACATATGAATACGCCACTTTCGTGATCAAAAACAACTATCACTCTCAACCCTGACCAGTAGGTTTCCACTCTGGCCCTGAAAGAGAAAAGATGCATTATGTTTAAGACTCGTCAGCATTCACAAATCGCCCATAGGTAGGTTTCCACTCATATGTTTGTTTTGCTCTCCAAAACTAGATCTGACACCGGATGAACATTTTCGTGTCACCAAGCATCTGGATCAGATTGTAGTTCATGACGTTACTCTCATGCATTAAAAGTAAATTCAGAAGAAAAAGTTCTAAGATTTGGCTTCAATAGCTCATGGAATCCTCATCGAACACATGTATCCCCATCGAAAATCACTTTGACCAAACAATAAAACTACTCAGACATGATGAACGAAATCAAAAACATAGTATTTAAAAGTAGAGCAATAACTGAAATTGAAAAAGAAAGAACAAGAGTTCAAGAGATAAATCTCTCTCTCCCTAAAAGCTAAAACTTAAAAAGTTTTCTAAAACAATAAGAGCATATGATGTGATACGAATTAGGGTTCCTAAAATATGTATTTATAGTGCTCAAACATCTCTGGACGTCACTTAAGGTTTCTCCAAATGAGGGAATCATTTTGGGATTCAGAAATGGGCCTTCTAGTTCGGAGTTGGCTGGCCACGGTCGGGAAGTGAGTGGCCGCGGGGAATTGATGCTTGGCCGTGGTCGGGTATCCTCTGACCGTGGTGAAATGGCTGTTGGCCGCAGGTGGAAATGTTTGCCGGCTGGTTTACGGGACATCTTGCTCTTCGCGTAACTTTTGATTGAACCGTTGGATTGCCAAGCTGTAAAGTGTGCTGGAAAGCTGATAGTTCCATATTTGAGATCTCCAAATTTGAGCTGGATCAGACGGTGAGAAGCCCTTGATAACGTCGTATTTTGACCACTTTTATGGATCGTTTTGAAATACTTTTTCTATGTTTTTAATTGCTTTTAAGTACTTTTATCACGTTTTTCTAGTATTTGTAGTTCCAAGACTCTTTTCAGGTAACTTTAGGAAAAGCTTAACAAAATGGATAGAAAACCAGATTTCAGCTCAGAGTCGAACCGTCAGAAGTTCACCCCTGATTGAAGGCCTTCTCACCGTCTGATCCAGCTCAAATTTGGAGACCTTAAAGATGGAAGTATCAGCTTTCCAGTGCACTTTACAGCTTGGCAATCCACTGTTCAATCAAAAGATACGCGAAGAGCAAGATGTCCTGTAAACCAGCCGGCAAGCACTTCCACCCGCGGCCAACAAGCATTTTCCCGCGGTCAGGAGCATCCCGACCGCGGCAAACCACCCATTCCCTGCGGGCAGAGCACTCCCGACCGCGACCATCAACCTCCGAGCCCAGAAGCCCATTTCTGAAGCCCACAATGATTCCTTCATTTGGAGAAACCCTAAGTGACGTCCAGAGAGGTCTTGAGCACTATAAATACATGTCTTAGGAACCCTAATCGAGGGGAGAAGCTATCTTTCTTATTGTTTTAGAATACTTTTAAGTTTTAGGTTTTAGGGAGAGAGAGATTTGTTCTCTTGAACCCTTGTTCTTTCTTTTTCAATTTCGGTTTCTATTCTACTTCTTAATACTATGCTTTTGATTTCGTTCATTATGTCTGAGTAGTTTTATTGTTGGGATTAAGGGATTTTTGATGGGGATTTATATGTTCGATGAGGATTCCATGAGCTTTTGAGCCGAATCTTAGAACTTTTTCTTCTGAATTCATTTTTACTGCATGAGAGTAGCGTCATGAACTACAATCTGATCCAGATGCTTGGTGACACAAAAGTGTTCATCACGTATCAGATCTAGTTTGGGAGAGCAAAACAAACATAGGAGTGGAAACCTACCTATGGGCGATTTGTGAATTAGGACGAGTCTTAAACATAATGCATCTCTTCTCTTCCAGGGCCAGAGTGGAAACCTACTGGTCAGGGTTGAGAGAGATAGTTGTCTATGATCACGACAGTGGCGTATTCATACGTCCGTGACTCCGGTTCAAAAAGTTTAAGCTAAGATCTTACAAAATTTCCTCTCTAGCAATTTTTTGAATCGTTCGTACCCCTGAGAAAACTTGCCTGAACCCCAACGCCTTCTTCCTTATTGATTTACACCGTTTTTCTTTAAAGCTTTAGTTCAATATTGTCTTTCCTTTTTAGTTCATTTTCATTTAAGCATTAGAATATCCGTTTTTATCATTTTTAGTCATTTTCATTAAGTTTAATTATTACGTCATTTAATTCTCGTATTCTCTTTTAATATTTCGTTTTTAGATTTTAAACACACTACCAAACCCCTACAAAACCGTTTTTGTTCTAGACTTCCTTACTTTAACTTA